TTCTTCAAAGGTGTGCAAATAGACCATTTGATCCACAATCTCACTTCTGGGTATCTACCCAAAGGACAGGAGGATGCTCAGTCGGAAAAGCGCTTGCATATCAATGTTTATTGCAGCATCATTCACAATCGCTAAGACATGGAACCAAACTAAATGTCCAAAAACAGATGAATGAATGGGAAAAGTGTGGCACATATACTCTATAGAATACTATTAAGCCATAAAAAACAAGACCCAGGAATTTTATAGAAAGTGGTTAAATATGGAAGATCTATTGCTGAGTGAAGCAAGCCGAGCTATGAAAGAATGATGTTGTATGTATCCACTTAATATATACCAACTATCCATACTTTATGGTAAAGATTGAAATATTGGAGAGCATAAAAGCAGTGAAAATAGTTATGGATATTGAAGACAGTATGGAACAGGGAGGTGGGGGAGAAAGGAAGAGAATAGAGAAGGATAGCAAAAGAACGAGTAGAGAGGCATAATATTAGTGGGGCACAGAAATGGTTTATTACCTGTTCATGATAACATGTATAGTATTCTCAACTGGACTGGTCTGAGAAGTATTTTTCATTTTGGGTAAATTCTCTTTACAAGTCAAATGATATATAGTGATTGAATGTTAAAAAATTAAGAAGAATAAATAATAAAAATATGGAAAAAATAATAAAAACCTATTTGATAATGATGTGGATAGTAATGTATTTGTCTTGACTGATATGCATGGTAATCATGCTGGAAAAAGAAATGTAATACATTATACAGATATACATGTGGTTAAACATAATATAATTTTTGGGGGGGAAAGGTTTTTGCTATAGGGCACGTGTGGTCACTGGAAAGACAGAGAGACAGAAAATGAGAAATCACCCCTCAAGGGATATGGCCACGCCGCAATCCCCTCTCCTCCATTCTCCTCTTGGGATCTTGGGCACACATGCACATGCGCCTGGTGTGAGTTTAAGCCACCAGGTCCAGGACTCAAACCATGGTCAACTACATGGGAGTCCAGTGACATAGCCATTCTCTAACTGCTAGTCCCAATATAAAAATGTTTTAAAAGGGAAAAAAAAATCACAACACAAACTTTGTGCTATCATCACATTGGTTTGGAACTGATCAGATGGCCATCTTACTGCAATAGAGAATAGGAAGTATTATCTCTACTCTGCTTAGTCATATGCCCAGCTGGAAATCATGGTTTCTATAACATAGAAAGCATCAATGAATGGGGCCACTAGAAATATCTGGCCCAACAGGGGTTTTTTGTTTGTTTATTTTATTTTATGATTTCTTATTTACATTTACTTGTTGTAGATCTTTGGGGGACACTGCATGGATTTCCAAAGCATGCATGCAGTACACAATACTAATATAAAGAATAATACTGTTAGTTTGTCAGAAAAGTTATGACGTATTTTTCTGTTTTTCTATGTAAAAATGCATCATGACTTTTCCCACAACCCAATATACTAATTGTTTTAAATAAAGAATACCACATTTGAAAAATATGTATGATTGGCAATATCTGTTTCACTCACTTGTGGTATGTTGTTCCACAACTCAACTGTCCCATATGCTTTCATTCCTGTGTCTGTTAAATACTTCTTTTCCCTCATCACTTTCCCAGCTTACCCCAGTGCTATGCAGTCCTTGGTATCTAACAATTATCATCTCTATTTCTGTGTCTTCAAATCTTTCCATTTCTGGCATAGATATATATTCTGACATTCAATATATATATTGAGGAAGAACATAGTGTTTTTCTTTCATAGTCAGGCTTATTTCACTTAGCATTACATCTTCTAGATCTGACCACTTTGTGTCAAATGATAGGATCTCTTTATTCTTTTTTAGAGAGAGATTTTTGCTATAGGGCACATGCACTTGCTGGAGAAACAGAGAGACAGAATGCAAGAATCAACCCCCAGGAAAGATGGCCACATCACAATCCCTTCACCTCCATTCTCCTCTTGGGATTTTGGGCAGGTGTGCACACACACCCTATGTGAGTTTCAAGCTGCTGGGTTTGGGACTCAGACCATGGTTGACCATGTGGGAGTCCAGTACCTTAACTAGCACACCACCTGCTGTCCTGATCTTGTTATTCTTTGTTACTGAATAGTATTCCATTGTATATATGTACCACAATTTGTTAATTAAGTCGTCAGTCATTGGACACTTAGGTTATTCCATATCTTAGTTATTGTAAATAATGCTGCAATAAACATGGATGTTAAAGTGTCTTTCCAACCGAGTGAGTTCCTGTCCTTCAGGTAAATACCCAGGAGTAGGATTACTGGGTCATTTGGTAGTTGTATTTTGAAGAACTTTCAAATTGTTTTCTACAATGGCTGTACTAATTTACTTTCCTACCAGCAGTGCAGAAGGGTTCCTTTTCCACCATACCCTCACCAGTACCTGTTTCTTAAGTGTTTTTTTATTTCTTTTTGTTGTTGTTGTTGTTGTTTTTAACCAAAGCCACAATACTTTTTGATTTTGATTTGCATTTCTCTTATGATAAGAGATGTTAAACATTTTTATGTGCTTTTTGGTCATTCATATGTCTTCCCTTGGGAGTTGTTTTTTCAGATCACTTTCCCATTTTTTTAATTGGATTAACAGTTTTTCTGCAGGTGATTTGTTTGAATCCTCTGTATATTCTGGTTATTAAAACTTTATCTAACATATATTTTGCAATTTTTTTTCCATTCTATAAGTTTCACTTTACCCTATATGTTTATTTTGCTTTGCACAGTTTTTTAGTTTGATGTAATCCCACTTTTCTATGCTGGGAGCTGTTGTCCATTTTAGTGGTCTTATTTAAGAAATCTTTACCTAATCCAATGTCTTTAAGTATTTCCCCTGTGTTTTCCATGAGTAGTTTTATAGTTATAGATGTCTCCAGCTTTATTCTTTTTGCACAGTATTGTGTTGGCAATACAGGATCTTTTATAAACGCAGACAAATTGTGTCATTTCCTTTTCTATTTCCGTCAAGAACGTTACTGGCAATTTGATAGGAATTGCATTCAATTTATAAGTTAATTTGGGTAGAATCTTCCAATCCAGAAACAAGGGATTTCTCTCCCTTTTTTTTTTTTTTTTTTCATCATTTTTAGTGAGTCTATTGGGCCTGCCTAACCTTCCTAGGGCAAGTTGACCTCCTTTCATATAGGCAGGTACACAAGACAGAGAAAGCCCCAATGGGGTATGGTTCTACCACAATCCCTTCTCCTTCTTCTCTCTATTCTTTTAGGATTTGGGCACAGACACATGCATATACATCCAGCATGTTTTCCAATCCATTAGCACTGGGACTTGAACCACAGTAGTACATGTGAAATCCAGCTTTCTATGCAAAGAGTTCCACTGTTGTGCTATGGAACTAGCCTCAGACATACAATTCCAACAATTCGTTCTGTTTCAGTTCCTTTTCTAGTCATCATTACTCCATTAGTTCATTCATGCTTTCATTCATTTTTTTCTGAAGATGGCTTTTTCCAGTATGCTCTAAAGATTACAGGGTCTCTAAAAGAAGATGGTGCTTTTTACAGTTGATGTGATATGTGTTTAATTAAATAAAGTAAGATAATCAGTGCCATTTTCCTTTGAAAATTTGGAAAGTTATCAAGTAAACATCTGTTCTGTTCTTATTCTCAATTAGTCACTAACTAAAAACATGCAAGCTGATTTTCACAATGACTAATCATGTTTCTGAAGCCTGCCTAAATAAATGGTAGCTCATTAAAGATCCAAAATACTTGCTGAGTCATATGTGACTCACATAGCAGAGTCCATTAGTCAGGAATGACTTATAGAAAAATATTGCTAATATTAGGAAAAGGTTAACCATGTGACCGAGAAAATAAAATATAGTGCTAAGCCTATAGTTTTTGAAACTTTTCTCAAAATTGGAGTAGAAACTTATTTTCCAAGTGACAAAAAAAAAATGAAACAAAAAAAATTTATTTATACAGAAGAAAGCATAAATGAATTAATCATTTGGTATTAGCCAGAACTGAAGAATATAATCTAACTTAAAGATGGTAGCTCAGGAAATAATAACCTTTAAAAATACCAGCCACAAACAAAAAATAGAGACTATTAGCTTGATACAAAAGATGTGGAAATACAATTAAGCATTCACAACACAGACCTATGAACTCTTGGTTTGTATTAATATCCTGGTTTCTGTTTTTATTTTTAGTAAATGGCTGAACAAATATTTTAGAATATATAATCTCTATCAGGTGTAGTGGGAGTGAAAAAGATAAACCAAATACAGATCTGGTCTACAGGAATCTGCCATTCTGTAGGAGCAAAGAGACATTTCTCAATTATCTTAACCCAAAGTTGGTGTTAACTACATGAGAAACACAGATTTTTTTTTTAATTAAAATAAAATGGGATCGACACATGGCATGGTGGTTAAGGTGTTGAAGTCCCACATGGCCAGTCAGGCTGCTTGAAAATCACACCAGGCACATGTGTGTGCCAGAAATCCCAGGAAGAGAAAGGAGGAGAAGGGATTGCAGCATGGCCGTCTTCCTAGGAGGTGATTTCTCACTTTCCCTCTCACAGTCTCCCTCTGATCTCTGGTGAGCACAATACCTTATGGTAAAAACAAAAAATGATAATAATAGAATAAAATAAAAAGGGAGAAGCAGTTAATGCAAAGCTCTTGTAGGAGTTAGCATTGGAATACAACCTTGAAACAAACTGGGATTTGTACTTGTTAAGATGAGGATGAGGAAGAGGAGGTAAAACCAAAGCACAGAGCTGTCTGTGCTCTGCACAGAGTGGATACTAAATGTAAAAATGTGTGAAAAAAAAAAAAAAAAAAAGAGAGAGAGAGAGAAACAAGAGTGGTAAAGACCTTGATTTTGAAAGACCTGTTTACATGCCACGAGAGGACTTCAAACTCTTGGTTATACTGCTATTATTGATTTAGCAAGATATTAAACTAAATTGGAACTGTGCATTATACAGAACAATTCATTGAGGGAGTCCCTTTGTAATGTGAATTAAAGCAGAGACTGGATACTAGGGACCTAACTAGGAAATGCTTATAGCCATGTAAATGGGCATCTGAGCAGAATCTAAAAAGCCCCCCCAAATTCTCAGCCCTTATGCAAACACAGTTTCTCCCAGTGATTCAATCCAACACTAACCTAAGTGTTACTGTGAAGGGGTTAAATTATGTATAATTTAGGCCCCAAATCACTTAGAGAAATTATCCAGCAGGGCCTGCCCTAGTCATGAGTCCTTTCATCAGAGTCCAGAAATCAGCAACTGAAAGGTTAGTTTCAAAGACTGAGAGAGATTTGACAAGGGAGAAGTTTTCTACTACTGACTTTGAAAATGGAGCGGGCCTTGTGGCAAGGAGGGCTAGTGGTTTCTAAAAGCCGAGAGTGGCCCCTGGCCAACAGCCAGCAAGAAAACAGGGGCCTCAGTCTTACAACAAAAAGACTTAAAATGACATGTATTTATGATATCACAGCTTTCGTAGGCAAGATGCCCTGACACGAAGTGACTGAATTCTGTGCTCATGGTACCACAAGGCTCAAATCCAGGATTTGAAAACTGCATCCAGGTCAGCTTCCTAGAATAAAAATACATTTCAGTCAGCTTCAGTTATTAGAGATTTACCCAAAGATTTAGAGTAGAATGTCTTGATGAACTGAAAGCACTTTATAATTATTCACTCAACAAGTTAAAGATGAAAAGGAGTTAAGTACCTATCATGTAAATTAGCTAAACTAACTCATAAAGAATAACAAAGGTGAATACTGTAAACTGTGGAGTTAAGAAAACTGGATTTATGGTTATTTGGACTGTGTAATATTTAATAAGTACCTTGATCTCTTTCAGTCTTACTTTCCTAACCTGTAATATGAAAAAAATTAATGGATCAGCGAGTGGCACAGTGGCTAAGGCAGCTGGATCCCACATGACCAACTGTGTGATTGAAGTCCCAGACCCAGTAGCTTGAAAAACATGCAGGGTATGTGCCCAAAATTCCAAGAGGAGGATGTAGGAGAAGAGACTGCAGTGTGGCCACCTCCCACTGTGTTTTCTCACTTTCTCCCTCTCTCTCTCTCTCTCTCTCTGCACCTTTCTCCAGTGAGTATACTTGTCCTCTGGTAAAACTTAAAAGAAGAAATAATAAAATTCATCCTGGACTTCCAATGGTAAGGTCCAAAAAAAGAAAAAGAAAACAATTACTGTACTAATCACTTCACAAGATTGTTACTAGGACCAAACTTACTCAATTACATCTTTTATTTATTACTATAGTCATAGTTATTTTTCTGCTATCTGTAGATTGCCTAAATGCAGTTAAAATAATCTGAAATACGATTGTAAAAATTTAAAACCTTTTACTTTATTTCTGATGCTAATCAACAGCACACTGAAAACAGTACTAAACACACATTATAGAACTACAAAGTAAACAGTTTGGAAGACCAATTGATAGTAAAATAATTCCCTTTTTTCCTAATAAAAAGAACCCGTCGTTTAATCATTATCATCCAAATATATTTACAGAGCTATGGTCTATTTGCATCCCCTCCCAAAAAAATTTCATATGTTAAAACCCTGACCCCCAAAATGATGATATTGGGAGAGGGTCTTTGGGAAATGACTAGGTCAGAATGGTGGCACTCTCGTGAATGGCATTAATGCCATTGTTAAAGATAGCCCAGGAAGTTCTTACAGCCCTTTACCATGTGAGGGGACAGTGAGGAGAGCACTGTCTGTGGAGAAGCAAGCCCTCACCAGATGCTGAACGTTTTCATCCTTGATCTTGAACTGCCCACCTCCAGAACTATGAGAGAAAGTTCTGCCATTTATAAACTATCAAGTGTATTTCGCTATGTAGAGTAAACAGACTAAGACAAGAGGGTTTTTAAAAAGGCTAATATTTATCTTATAAAAATCTTGAATTTGGATGTCAAAAAAAAGGGAAAAATAAACAGTAATCCACGCATCTTGACCACTTTAAATTATATTTGAGACTTTTTCTTTTTTTTCTTTTTTTATTTCTAGTGAGTATGTGCACTTGTCAGAGAGAGACAGAGAGAGAAAGAGGAGAGGGAGAAAGCACCCCTTCCCTCATAGGGAATGGTCACACCACAATCATTTCCATCTCTTTCTTGAGATTCTGGGCACACACACACATGTGCCCAGCATATCTCTCAAACCACCAGATCCAGGACTCAAACTGCCATGTGGAATCCAATTTTTATAAATGGAGCTTAAATTACACATAGTATATTGTCTTTTTAAACCTGAACTTGATTTTTTTGTTTCAATATATTGGGGAAGATTTAAGGAAAATTAGGTTACTTGGCCAGAATTTCTCAATGTGTAAGAGAATTTCTTCTAATGATCTTGTAGATATGGTGCTGAAGAGTAAATAAATAAATAAATACCTTAAAAAGAAGAAGTTAAGACAAAATAAATAGTCTACATAGAAAAAGAAATGCAAATATAGGGAAAATATTGTTACAGAAAATGAATTATCATATTATGTCTTCAGGCAAACAGTAGGGGGCAACATGTGCCCAGTCTTGTTTTTGAAATGCTTGTGTAACATCAAAACAAAACCCAGCCTAATGACTCACAAAACACGGAAATTTCCCAAACTCACTTACCACAAGGAATATTTATGCACAGACATATTCTTTGTTTTTATTCTTCCTATTTTAGGATATCATGCTTATTTCTTATCGGGAGACCTCTACTAAGATTATTCATCTTAGAAGAATTTTATTCGTGAGACACATTAAATTGTTCATCTGTCTCCCAAATGAAGGTACAGAATTTTTTTCATCACGTGGCCAGCAGATGAGGTGACTGCATTAGGTAAGAAAGGATATGATTTAATGGGAACATGGGAACCGTTGTTTTGTTTTGTTTTTTTTAAATTATAAATCCCCCTCACCCCATAAAAAGAAAAAAGAAGAAGTCATAGCATGACCTCAATTACTAGAGTTTGCAGCAAATTGCAGGAAGTGTATCCGGTGGCCAAGAGAAAGCGGAAGTGCAGCAAGGTTTCTTTTCTGAGTGTACCAGCCTCCATCTGCTTCTCTCTGAAATACTGAAGGCTGCAGACAGTCGTGACCTTGTATGTGATTCTCACAGACGAACCTCCACACCTCAGAAGCCATTTTAGGTGATAAATAGCTTAGTGTCTGTGGCCTTTTAGGTCTGGGAGTATTTTTATTTTCCATAATGATTCAATTGTTTATTGAACGTTTTCACAGTTGAAAATCAGAGTAGACACAGAGGTGAAGAGAGGTGCTGCTTTATAACAGCAGAGGTCAGTAACACCAAAGGGGAAGGAAATTGAGCAATGCACCAGAACTCTCTGTCCCTCTGAGTTGCAGAATCAGGAGGCAACAGGCCACATCCTGACACAGAGTATGACCTGCTCCTTAGTGCTCAACAGGGTCCCTCCTGGGGAGTCAGTATCTTCATCCCTGGCAACAGTACCTTCCAGACATTCTATGAGATGCTTGACTCTCCTTAATAAGGAAATAACTCCTACCACAGAGCTTGTTTTGTTTTGTTTTTTGGTTTTTGCTATAGGGTACACGTGTTCACTGGAGAGGAGGGGGAGAGAAAAGGAAAGTGAGAAATCACCCACCAGGGGAGGTGGACAAACCACAATCTCTTTTCCATGCTCCTCTCAGGATTTGGGGAGCATGTGCACATGCACCCAGAATGTTCCTCAACGCTCCAAGTCCAGGACTTAAACCGCAAAGTTGGCCATGTGGAGTCCTGCAGCCTTACCCGCCACATCATCTAAAGAAGTCTTTAGACAACTGAAGTAGAATATATAAAGTGAATAGTTCTGCTATACTTTCATAATTTTTTTTTAGTGCTTTACTAATAGCTAGATTTGGATTTATCTTTTAGTAAGAAGCAAACTAGCAAAGAAAACAAGGAAAAATAAAATATTTGTCCCTATATTTATTTTGGAAAAGATTTATCAAGTGCCAGGCACTGTTCTAAGTACTTGAGGTATAAAACTGAACAAAATAAACAGCATCCCTTCCCTAATGGAGCTGAGAGTCTGAGAGGAGAAGGAAAAAGTTAAACAGACAAACTAATTTGTATCAGGTGGTGCATTCATTTCTCAGCTAATGGCTGCCATTCGGAAGTACCAGGAACTGGGTAACGTAAAAGAGTTACTTAAGTAAACTTAAGACAGTTTACTGTCATAACAGTTCTGAAGGTTGGAAGTTCAGTTAAGGTGTCCATAGAACCATACTCCCAGGCGTGGTAGCGCCCGCCCTATGGCAGAACCATACTCCCTCTGAAACCTGTAGAAGAATCTTGGTCTTTTCCTAGTTTCTAGTGGTTTTCTGGTAACCTTGGGTATTTCTAACTTGTAGATGCAACCCTTCACCTCTCTGTCTTCATGTTTGTCCGGTGTCTCTTCACTTACTCCTCCCTCTATGCATGTCTATCTCTGTGTCTAAATTTCCTACATTTATAAGGACACTAATCATATTGGATTAGGACATGCCCTAATAATCTCATCTTAACTTGACAACATCTGAAAATATCCTATCAGTAAACAGGGTCACATCCTGAGGCACTGGGGGTTAAGATATTAACATATTGTTTTGGAGGGACACAATTCAACTCATAACCTACCTAAAATAAATAAATAAATAAATAAATAAAAGAAGAGGCCAGACTCCCAAAAATACCAACAGAGGAAAGAAAGAACATGTCAGAATGAAAGATCAGGAACAATCAGATGCATAATGGTTACGTCACTGAACTCCCACATAGTCAACCACAGTTCTAGTCCCAGACCCTTTAAGTACAAAAGTTATATTTTAACTAGTGTCTTCATTCTTTAAAACACTTTCTTAATTATAAAGGAAAGATCTATTGATATCACAACCACAAATCATTATTTTTAATGTGAACAAGCTGATGATTTTCAGATAACTCATCTTTAACAAGAATAAAGAGGATGGTGATTGGTGTAAATTTTAAGACTATCCCTTAACTAAATGTTCATTTTGGGGTTACTGTGTGCCAGCACTTTTCTAGCTCCTTGGGACAGAAAATTGAGCAAAAAAAAAAAAAAGTAAAATTTGAAAAAAATAAATAAATTAAAAAAAAATGTAAAATTTGGAGCTAGCAGGTGGTGTTGTGGTTAAGACACTGGACTCCCACATGGCCGACAGCAGTGTAAGTCCTGGATCCAGTGGCATGAAGACCACACAGGGCTGTGAGTGCATATATTCTCAAAATCCCAAGAAGAGACAGAAGGAGAAGGGATTGTGGCATGCCTGTCCCCCCGGGGAGGGAGTGATTTTTCACTTTCCCGCTGTCTTTTTCCAGCAAACGCTCTATGACAAAAACCTAAATAACTAAGTAAAAACTGAAATTCTTTGCCTTGTTGTAATTTACATTTTAATAAGGACAACTCTGAATTTGGCTTTTCATTGCCTCTTCCTCATGGGAAATTGAAGACATCTGCCAAATGAGTGTAAAGGGCATCTATACAACAACAAAGAATTGCATAAGGACCCCTAAATATTGCTGGACCAACAACTCACCTGATGGTGAACCTTTCATAACACCACCCTTAAAATGACACTAACTTGGGCATCGACACCTCTACCAACAGAAGTTTACAATACTCAGCAATCCACTGGAACTTCTCTTATCCTTGTTCCCTCTGTTCCAAAAATACCCTGCTGCTATTCCTGGAAAACACCAGACTCTGTATTTGCTGTTCTCCAGTTACTTTCTTGGCTAGCTGTTTCACCTCCTTCAAGCCTTTATTAAAATGTCACATTCTCAGTAAATCTTTCCTGGCAACCTCACTTAAAATTACCCATCATCACCACCACCACCACCACGTTGCCTTCTCAACTGTCTTGATTCCCTTTTTCTGCATTCTTTTTCTCCAAAACACCTATCACTATCTAATTTTTAATTAGCTGTTCATTATCTCTTTCCTTCTACTGGCATACAAACTCCATGGGGAAAATACTTTTGTCTTATTTGTTTCCTATATCCTATAGAGTAAGAAGCAAGCTTGGCACAAAGGACTGCAAAATGAATATTTCTTTAAAGAGCAGTCCTTTAAACTTATAACTCATCAATGTCCTCTCTATTTGTGCTAAAGGGGACTTTACTGAAAGTCATTGACTTGTACCAAGTAGGCCACATCTGGATAGTGACACTACGAGCACTATCTTCATTTACACTTGTGGGAAATTAAGAGACATTCCTTCCAATTGGTGTTGCTCATATTTGTCTTTATAATGAGTAAGGCTGCATTTTTAAATTTTAAAAAGGAAGAGAAGCTTAGTTCAAATATGTTGTTTCACAATGATCTAACTTTTTACACTGATAAAACTTGGAGAGTCTGACGCAGGGAATCCCCGCAACTATTCCACTGAACATCAGCAAAATCTACGGTTGGAATTAGTGGCATGACTTACACATACAATATTTGCTATTTTTAAAAATGTAAGTAGATGTCCATGATGAATAATAAACACATGGGGAGAAATATTTCTGCATTAGTGTGGCCCACATTCATACTGCAGATAGCTTTATAAATTAATTAAATACTAGGTTACTTGAAATTTATTCTGATTCCAAAAGGCTCTTATTGTCAAATACTGTAGTCTATGTCAGTTTACTCAGAGTGACAGGCAAAGCAGTAGTTCTCAGCCCTGTTTATGATTAGAATCATCTGAGATTTATAAGTACCTGGACCGAGCCTCACCCTTAGGGTTTTGCTTTCGTTGGTATAGGTGAGGTCTACTAGCTTAAACCTTCCTTGGTGATTCTAATGCGCAGGTAGGTGGAGAGCCCATGCAACAAAGAACTGAATATACTCTAGAAAGTGATGAGGAAGCTGTTCGACTTACATATCGAGTTCACAGAATTCCTCCATAAACATACTGTCTTAATAGGAACAGGATCCTGGACCAACTCATTCACAAAAAAGAGAGAGAGAGAGAGAAAAAAAAAAAAAAGTCCACGGTCCACATTCTTCTTCCAGGTATTTGCAACATGGAGATTTACAAGCGTTATCATTTTGATAGTAGAAGTACAACTATTTCAGCTTCTTATAAATCTACTTGCTCTAGGGCCAGCCCCACAGCTCAGCAGTTAAGTGTTATACAGAGAAGGCAGATACTACACAGCTGACTGCTGTGCACATACTGGCCCAGCAACTGGAAAAACATGCCAAGTGCATGTGCATACATGCCCCAAATCCCACGGAAGTAGAAAAATGGAAGGAAAAGGATTGTGGCATGATCATACCCAGTTGAGGGATGCATGCTTTCTTGCTTACTCTAGCGAGCACAAGCACCCACTAGAAGTAAAAAAAGAAAAAAAAATAGAAGACATTGAAAGATGAATTATTAACAGTTTGACATTCCCCTCAAGATGTTTTATTGTCAAGTCCAAGCCTCAAGGCACCTAAGGCAGATTCCAGAAGGAAGTAGCCAACAAGATGTGTTGGCATGATACTCCAGGCACAGGCAGAGAAGTCAAATCAACTCTGGTGAAATACGCAGTTCTATCACTTAATAGGTGTGAACACTTAGAGGTTAACATCTTTATCTACAAAATCAGGATAACAATATCTACCACAGGAAAACATGTCAGCAAGGGCCACACAACCAGTGCAGTCACACAGGCTCTGCCTTCAGATGGGCCGTATGTCGGGGTTTAATGCAACCACCATCTTGAACTTCTTAATGATTATATCTTTGAGAATGAATTTTGTAAGTGAAACACTGTAGGACAATGGAATCACATTGGAGACTTGGGACCTTGGCTGACACAGGTGCTGCCCACTCACCTTCTGGGGTGTTTTCAAGGAAGTTCTCCTCATTCATATGCCTCCAGTTACAGCTGCTATCATCCACCTCGCTGGGACCCAAGCATGTACCTGGAGAGGGTTGGGGTAGATGTATATAAATTCCCTGCCAGTCAAGTCTCAAGAAAGGAGCCTAAATTTCTGTGAGGATCTTCATGCACCCTACAAGTAACCTCATGCCAAGGAGAGCATCAGCAAATAAAAAAAAACACCATAACAAGTAAAGAAAGCAATTTGGCATGAAGGGAAAAGGGTTTTTCCTGCTTTTTGAATAAGGAGCCTGCATTTTCATTTTCCACTGGGCCGTACAGATTGCCTAGCTGCCCTGCTCTTGAGACAGAGATTGTTATTATACATAATTTTTGTGCACACATCCGAAATCAAATACAAGACAAATAGATTGGCTCCATTAGAGTGGAAAGTCTAGCATTTACTAGTTTCTCAGAATGTTTGTTTTCATCTCTGTTTATGTGCTGTTCCCTTCAACAATGCAAGTTGTTGAACTACGAATGATTACACATTGAAAACTAGATTGTCTCTGTCCATTCTTAGCTAAGAGTTAGGGAA